CAATATTTGTAGCCTTATATTGATTTTGATAAAAAAAATGTGAATTATTCAAGATATAAAGATCTCATTTACAAATTGTTTGGTGTGGGTTAAACAGTAATTTTAAGCAAATATAATGGGAATGTTCTTCCATTTTTGGCATAAACATAATAATTCACCTATAGAATAACGACGTGCACATTTTATATGTGTGCAATTGCACATAAAATCTTACTCAAGCTAGACGCATAACATTTAGTCAAACTAATTTCATTCATATTGGTTGACGGGATCTGTCAGTGCTCATTGAATAATCCATTGATCTATTCATCCAACAACAACAACAACAACAAATTATTATCGACCATAAATTTTTCATCTAATGAAAACGTTCTTTTTGCAAATTCACCAACATTTTTGCTTGATGTTCAAAAACGATAAAAATTTACACCTTTATCGAATGGTTGAAACAAAAAAAAACATTTCAAACAACCAAAACACATTCACAAAATAAAAAAAATCATTAGAGGGTGGATTCGAATCGAGACGTTCAACTCCATTTGCATCGGGATCATCTTCACGAACACCGGGTAGTGGTGGTTCATTGAAAATTGTCCGCCGTTCTGGTGAACGATCAAAAAGTCCATTCCGTAGTTTCAGGTGGAAACGCGGCACTTCACGCAACATTGAGCTTGAGTACGATGAAGAAGGTAACACAAACAAAAGCATCAACCAAACAAACAAACAAACCACATTTACTACCGTAAACTCTGCGTCATTTTTAAGGATAGCAATATGTTTTATTCTGGGGGACAAAGATATTTAAAATATAAAATACCATATCAAAACGATCTACAAGACTTCATTGCCTTGTATTTGACACACCTCATTCACACATTGGTTCAATCAAACATACGTCGAATATTTATAAGTTCACTCCAATTGAATCAATCATACATGATATGTTCAATAACAAATCGTATTTCCTAGTGGCTGTAGACGTTTATCTAATTGCATGCAAAGTTGCATTCGCCTACTTTTCACTGTTTATCGCCAACAATTTTCAATCTCCCAATCAAAATCAATTTTTTAAGGTTTCTTTTTGCAGCTTTATGAACAAAACACCAACCAAAAACGGGGACCATTTCTATATAAATACAAAAAAAACACAGTTTCGATTCTCATTTTATCAATGAATCTTCCAATTTTTCAAGTGGAAATTATCCAATCCATAATTCCGCTTTTTTATTGCATATTTTTCGATTTTGATTTTCAATTTTTTATTACATTTGCGCAGATTTAAGTCTTTTTTTCCACGCTCTGAAATTTAACGTTGATTTGATTTCTAATGTATTGCATTTGTACGCAACGATTAGGTGCCCAAGGTGATGCTAGTGGCGTTGAAGGTGTTTTAGTTCGCAAACACGATTGGGAAAGTACGACCAAGAAAGCAGCTAACCGTTCATGGGATAAGGTGAGTACAAAACTACCACAAACTCGATCATTCTTTTTGGAAAGAGACGAAAATTTAATTTAAATTGTTTCAATAAGGTTTATATTGTGGCTCGTAACTCCCGGTTAACGTTCTTCAAAGATCAGAAAGCATCAAAGGTTTTGCCAGAAGCAACGTTCCGCGGCGAACTACCATTAATATTGGATGGCGCAAGCGTTGATGTAGCCAATGACTATAAGAAACGAAAACATGTGTTCAGAATAAAGTGAGTATGGTGTCTGATGTGATTTTGTTATTGAAGATTTTATATACAGAAATTACATTCAAAGAAGATTTTCTAAAAAAAAAATGAATTCGAAAAAAATCAGGAGAAAATCATTCATTCGATATGAATTGTCCTAACTAAAATGTCCTCTCCGTAGGTTTGTCAATGGCAGCGAATTTTTGTTACAAGCGCACGATGATGCCGAATTACAGCAGTGGGTCAGCGCATTGAAGGTACAATGTCAAACCGCATCGGGAAGCGAAAGCCGTTCACAGACATTGCCCGCATCATCACAGCAAAAAGATGAGACCAAAAAGAAATCATTCTTTACGCTGAAGAAAAAGTAAATATCCCAATTTAAAAAAAAGAAACCAAGCAAACCAGCCAATTTTCACTTTTGCATTTCTATATTGCATTATTTCTACAAGCAAACAATTCTTTAAACAAAACAATGAATTAAATTAAAAAACAATGTGCTTGTCAAAGTAAACATCACACACCGACACTCTCACGAGTCACTAGATTTATTTGTGGATAAAAAGAAGAAAAAATTAACAAAGCCAAAAGAAAAAAACAGTGACAAAATACAAAACACTGTTGTTGCATATATGGCATGATGATCGTAATTAGCTTAA